AAAGCAGCTGAACAAGGACTTGCTGATGCACAATTTAATCTTGGTTGGTGTTATGAGAGTGGAACTGGAGTGAGAAAAAATGAACAGAAGGCAGTTGAATGGTATAAAAAAGCAGCTGAACAAGGATATGCTCAAGCACAAAATAATCTTGGTTTGTGTTATGAGCATGGAATTGGAGTAGAAAAAGATAAACAAAAGGCAGTTGAATGGTATCAAAAAGCAGCTAAACAAGGATATGCTAATGCTCAATGTAGTATTGGTTATTGTTATGACAATGGAACTGGAATGAGAAAAGATGAACAAAAGGCAGTTGAATGGTATCAAAAAGCAGCTGAACAAGATATGCTCAAGCACAACATAATCTTGGTTGGCATTATAGACTTGGAACCGGAGTAGAAAAAGATGAACAGAAAGCAGTTGAATGGTATACAAAATCAGCTGAACAAGGAGTTGCCATTGCACAATTTAATCTTGCTTTATGTTATGAAAATGGAACTGGAGTAGAAAAAGATGATCAAAAGGCAGTTGAATGGTATCAAAAAGCAGCTGAACAAGGATATGCTCAAGCACAACATAATCTTGGTTGGCATTATAGACTTGGAACCGGAGTAGAAAAAGATGATCAAAAGGCAGTTGAATGGTACCAAAAAGCAGCTGAACAAGGACTTGCTGATGCACAATTTAATCTTGGTTGGTGTTATGAGAGTGGAACTGGAGTAGAAAAAGATGAACACAAGGCAGTTGAATGGTATCAAAAAGCAGCTGAACAAGGATATGCTCAAGCACAACATAATCTTGGTTATTGTTATAACAATGGAATTGGTGTAGAAAAAGATGGACAAAAGGCAAGTAAATGGTATCAAAAAGCAGCTGAACAAGGACTTGCTGATGCACAATATAATCTTGGTTGGCATTATGACAATGGAACTGGAGTGAGAAAAGATGATCAAAAGGCAGTTGAATGGTATCAAAAAGCATCTGAACAAGGTGATGCTGATGCACAGTTTAAGCTTGGTTATTTATACAGAAAAAGTATTATCATAGAAACAGATTATCAAAAGGCTTTTGAATTGTATCAAAAAGCAGCTATGCAAGGAAATTCTAATGCACAGGATAACCTTGGTTGGTGTTATGAAAAAGGACTTGGTGTGGATAAGAATGTTCAAAAAGCAGTGGAACTGTATCAAGAGGCAGTCAAGCAAGAAAATGTTACTGCATACACTAGCCTTGGTTTATGTTACAAAAATGGAATTGGGGTAGAAAGAGATATTCAAAAAGCCATTGAATTGTTTCAAAAAGCAGCTGAACAAAGACATGCATATGGCCAATATAATCTTGGTTGGTGTTATGAGGAGGGAGTTGGAGTAGAACAAGATGAACAGAAAGCTATTGAATTATATGAAAAAGCTGCTGAACAAGGGTACATTAAGGCACAAAATAAGGTTTATTTTTTTAAATACAATGACAAGTCCAAGTTAAAAAGCAAAATTCAAGAGTTAGCTAAAATTTATCCAGCTAAAGAAACAAAAGGTCTTATAAGGCAATAGTAATAGTTGGCAAATTGTAGCTATGATCATAAAGGTCTCATTTGCAAACTCGTAATTTGATAGAGTTAAGATTCTATAAAAATGGTAGTCAATATAAATAAATTGTGTGAAATGCATAAGAAAATCCATAATTATAATTAAACTTATACTCTAAAAAACTTTTACCTGCGAAAAACTAATCCACGGGAAATGACTGTCGAAGCAGTACAAGATAAAGAAAAGGAGAAGGAAAATGATGGTGTTAATAGTAATAATAATAATGATATATAGCCTAGAACGACCAAAGTATAGGGGTACTCATCAATGGCTTTGGGTCCGAGTATTTCCTCCTATGCAATCGCTCTAGTGAATATGCAAATGGAACCGTATGTTGTTTGTAAAGAGTAGTAAAAATGTATGACAAAATACATGTATCGATTATCGTGAATTTGCCTGAAAGCATTACTTGATTTTTCGCAATTTATATTCGAACTCTTTAAATAAAAAACAAAACTCGCAAATAGTCCAAACTTAATGAAAACAAGGTCTCCATTCATACCATCGTGCTGTCATATAGACTACAAATCACAAGAATAAACGTTGTTTTTGCTCTAGTCAAGCAAAGAGGTTTTATTTTTTACATATAATACTGTAATATTACGTCTTTCCTGTCTGGCCTTATGCTCCAGCATATGCTTAGTCTACAGTTAGATGCTACCCCAGCTTTTGTAAGCTTGCTTATCCGACTCAATTAAGTCCCAAGCAATAGATCCTCCCGTCAGCACAAGAATAGACTATTATTAGAACAATAATCCTTAGTCGAAGAGCGTATTAACTGTAAAAAGTTCGATGCGTCTTTTTAAGGGATTCTTTATATTTGTTCTTGGGCTCTAGTAAAGGTTTATTTTAATAATAGTAGACGATAATTTAGTTGATCTGCGTGATCGTAGTTTTAATATATTATTATAAAACGATTGGCATTGAACAAATCTATTATTATTAAGAACATCTCAACTTAACTAATATTAAAAACTATTTGAATGGAACTTCTGATGATGTAATAGATTCACAGTTAAGCACATGTAATATATAGATAAAAACAGCTTTAGCGAGCATCTTGCTGTGAATAAAGTTCCTCGCAATATTTATATGTATGTAAAGGACGTGAATTAATGTCTGCGAATTAATAAATTTGCTCGTTATGCTAAATGCGGTATAAAATTCTGTCTCATCGAATAACAACAACCTTGCAGACAGGTGATCCAAAAATAAACCAGTTTTGCTGTGTAGTATCCATTCACCCAGTACAAAAGGAATACTTGGTGTATACGATATTAAGTTACTGTTCGCCCTCGCAAAATCACATGGTGAGTGCAAAATTACGCGTTCTGATAGGGTTGCGCAAGCTGACTAAATAAGTTGTCAATCTCTAATTGCGAACATTATCTCCATCTTGTAAATAGAATGTGATCGAGTCTGCGTTGAGCCCCTTGACGTATACTATTGGCTTTCACTTTAATATTACCGTACTTTTCAAAGGGAAAACAGCATTCGCATGATTCGTTAGTGAAATTGAGGGAGCTGGCATGAATTTATTTCCCAGTGAGATACCCAAACGCGTGGGATGGTGATCCGATTGAAACAAAAGGCCGGGAGATTGTGGTTCTTATCGTGAATGTGTGAAAGTAGGAATCTACCGATTTGAATATTACCCAACGTTGTTTAGAAGATTTATTATTGATTGTATATACAAAGTTTCTGACATGCTCACATAAAGCGTTGTCAAATCTTTATAATCAAACAGATTCTTCTCATTACACACTTTCTATATTTAAACCTTTCATTTTTACAAAATTGCAGCAATATAATCCAGTCGGATTTAGCCTTCTACCTGTTCTTCATCTCCTTTTCCTTGGCTTAACTACCCATGGATTAGGCTTCTTCCTCGTCTTTCCTCCCTTAGCCAAAACACCCCATGGGCTGACAGGGTGTCTATTACCTTTGCTCTTTCCTCTACCACCTCCATGCGGATGATCAACAGAATTCATAGCCACACCTCTTACTGTCGGTCTAATACCCAACCATCTACTACGTCCTGCCTTACCCAACATTCTGTGTTGGTGATCGGGATTAGACACTGTCCCAATAGTAGCACAACAGTCAACATGGATTAATCGCACTTCACCAGAATTCAAGCGTACTTGTGAATATCCCTTCGACCCCGTGTGAATTATCTGTGCCGATGTACCAGCCGACCGACATAGAATGCCCGGCCCATCAGGTCGAAGAGAAATACAATGGATCGTAGTTCCTTGGGGTATCATACGAAGAGGAAGACAGTTACCACTCTCCAGGGCTGCCAGTTTAGTTATAGATGGATCTTCACCCTCTCGTTCAAGAGTTTGCTGCGAGCGAAATGAATGCACCACATGGCCTTCTCTAAGACCAAATGGTGCAAGGATGTAACTTAAGTTATTTGATTCTTTATGCCTCAGTAATGCCAAATGCGCTGATCTATTAGGATCGTATTCTATTCTGAGTACTTCATGTGCACCGCTCTCCCATCTATTAAAGTCTATGACCCTAATTCTACGTTTGTGGCCGCCTCCACGATGTCTCACTGTGATACGTCCGTGATGGTTACGTCCACCACTCGAGCGTTTGGGTAAAGTTAGTTTCCGAACTGGCTTGCCTTTCCATAAATGATCATTGATCGGACGACGCAGCCAACGAAGACCGGGTGTACGTGGTTTATACGTTTTGAATTGTCTATTTGTATCGGTGGCATACGTACGGTTCAGCACAAGCGGCGAAGTGCGAGTTATGGAAGAGGGATTGCGAAAGAGGGAATGATTGAAAAAAGGTGTTGTCGGGTTGATAGGTATTTTAAGAGCGATAATGGGCCTGAGAGGATGTTTTATTATTGAAATTGCTAACTGCCGGAAGGTTAGCATTTTTCAAGGCGGTTTATGTAACACACCTGTGGTAAAATTTATAGGACAATTCGTGTAACAACTAAAGAGTCGCAATAATTCAATTTTTGTAAGCATAATTTTGTTACTTTGACTAGTTGGGCATGTTTGAATATTGTCGTCATAATTATATGGCATTATTATTGTTAAATTGAACTCTTGGATGTTGCGCGGTTGTTATGGTCCCTTGATCATGCGTCACGTTAAGTAGTAGCAGGCCAATAACATTGACATGCTTACATGATCCTTTGAAACGAACTTCCATCTACAGTCACATGATATTCAGGTGATGATCAACAACATCCAGAATATTGATTGGTCCATCTGATCTCTTGATCCAGCCAAATCTTTATTACCAAAACAGCAATAAACAACAACAACGACCACGACCACCACAACATTATTGTTATTATTATTATTATTATTACTCAAACATCTAATATTCCTATCCGGGAGTTGGGCATTATTAAACGAGGACTTGGTTCGTCAGCAAACAAACTTCATGGCAGGCATCGGTGATCAAGCGTCATTAAACGCTTTTTGGAAAGATATTGCGAAGAAAGAAGCAGAAATGTCCATGGATTTACTGGAAGATGAAGAAATGGAACCTAGATACCCAATATCCGTGTGCGACTTCTTCCATCAACGAAAGAGCACGACAACCGACTCTACGAAAACGCCTGAACGACAGCTGATGCATCACGATCGATTCACCACGCCTGTCTACGAAGACACAGAGACGAATGATTCGTTCAGCCCACTGTTGCATAAAACCACCATCCCTGATTATTTCGCTCCTATCGACGATCAGAACAAATGGGATAAGAGATTACAAAGATTTAGCAATCAGGGTAAAGTAAAGGTATATGAGTCTAGAAAAATCAAAAAGGCGGGAAAGATAATCACAAAAAGCAGTAAACATAAACAATCACCTGGGACAGTACAAGTGCTTCGAGCTGCTCAATGTTCACTGACTGAATTGCGTCGGTTGAAGGAAACCTGTGCTATAGAAAATGTGAGTTTGTTTAACAGTGAGCTGCTGTTATGAAATACATAAGCACTAACTCATTTTCTATAATACGCAGCCCTTCCTCTGAACATCTGAACTGTTGTAATACATGAAATACTAATTGCCGTTTTACTTGCTTTCTGGTAAAAACTCCAAAAAGACATCAGATAAATACATTGACTTGCTATCTCCATTCTAAGTCTATTATGCTTATCATATATAGCTTGTGAAATTATACCCATTCATGTAAATTAATTACTTGTATGGACATTAGTAAAAATTGTAAAACAAACGCGTGCGAGTCCAATACTTTTTTCTTGGTTTCAACCGTTTTCGGATCGGGGGGCGAAATTAGCTAGCGCCGTTGCTGCTGATCTTACTTTTGGATCATAGTGATTCTTGAATGATATAATAGATAGATCCTTATGAATATGATACGTATTACTGACAGACGACAATAGATAGCTTGTATTTACCTCGAGTAAGCATAACTCCCACAGATTAGTAGCAAAAGGGTTACACAATTCGGGATCGTCCAACTCGGGCAAATATACTCCATTGCTCGACAAGTCGTCTGAATCCAACAAAGCATCTAGACGCTGCTGTTTCTGCAATGTTTAAAAAAAGTTGACGAATCTAAGCCATCAATATACGAGCAAGAAATAGCGCTCTCCCATGATTACCTGAATCAATTTCTGTATTGTGTTCAAGCACAAAAGTACAGTCTCGCTAGGCCAGTTTAAGCAAGACGTTGACAACCGCTTTAGGAATGCCGCAGATCGGTCAAGCGGTATCTGAAATATCACGAGAAATATAATAATGAGATGCAGCAAAAACGCGGTGATAATGTATGGAATAAACATGTACCTGTCTTCTTTTGAAGAACATGAAATCCAATCCTTTCATCAACATCTCCAACTCGGTATCCGTCCCCGTTGCGTGAGCGGACTTGTTCTTTTGAGAGTTTACCACGCTCATATCATCTCTAGTTTCTATATTGGGATTTAATGCAAGTGGGAAGAGTACTGTATAAAAACTTGTGTAGAAATCTTTTAGGTCGATATTCAACGCTTCGCCTGAAAATTAATAATATTGTGTAAGAACGCGAGGCTGGAATGAATTGAAGCTCCAAAATGGTGGTATCTTAAGAGACACTACAGTCTTTACGACTATTAATGATAACATACCCTGACCAGAAAGTAACTGGAATGCTGTTATAATACATAATAGAGTACGCCTAGTATCATTTATTGGAACATCGTCGTCGTCATCGGTAACCTCTCCGCTCGTCTCGGTCACAATTTTTCGAAGTACGTTAAGTAAGTCACTGAAGAAATCTACGTTTATCAAATGTGCGAACCTACAAGCAAATACCCATAAATAATAAGAAACGGTAAGAGAATCGATGGAACCAAGAATTACGGTCATACTTTGCCAATCCTTCGAGTACTGGCAGTAGTAAAGGAGACGTGTTGGCACGTTTCAGAATGCGAAAATATGTTGCAAAAACCAGCTTTAAGGTTTCTGTTTGCTAATGATAGTCAGCTAGTGGTTAATTCATGAGATATCTCGTATAAAACAGAATAAAACATGCTATGACTGCTAACCGTTTTTTCTTTTTCTTCTTTATCAACAATGGCATCGGCCTCTTTCATTTCCTTTTCAATCAGCTTCCTTTCCTTGGCAAGTTTTCTCATTTTCCTTGACAAATGCACTTTGTCACCTTTCCTCTTTTTCTTATTTCTAGCTACATCATTACTATCGTCTTTTGCAGCAGAAAGCTCGTCTTTGAGACGGAGATGAAGAAATGTATTTAGAACCTTCCAAAGGCACAACACGTCAGTAGGTGTGACAATAAAAAGCAAAGGAAAAAGAAAACCTTTCATAAAAATAATTACTTCGGGATGTACAGCATATTCTCTCGATTTGATCATCTTGGACAATAGCCTTACAGCGTCAAGACTAGATTCCCCAGATTCGTCGTTTTGAAATACATTAATTATAGCTTTTTGGCATATGGAAAACATCTAAAAGTTGAGTACCGTGAATCAGTCTTTAGCACAGCAATAAGTATATACCGCTTTACCGGCTCGAATTACATACCTCATTAATTTTACTAGTACTCATTCTGGTTATTACTGCAGTCATTAAATTTAGTCGAAAATTAAAATGTGTGACGGACGTCAAGAGATCACACATGCATTGCACTGCGACGAAGGCACATGATACGTCTTCCTTTGCATTATGCTTATTGGTTGTACTAGCTATTGTCAATATTTGATTAGTACCCGTTTTCTTCAAAGAGTGAATCATAGAAACTGAGCAATAAATATTACCCATACCTTTTACTTCGTTATTAAGTAATTGCAGATAGGCTTGATAATTGACCAACAGAGATTCTTCATAATGTCTTAGTTTTTTGACTTCGTTTGTCACCTTTCATTGAGCCAAAATGATTACTTTTCTCGTCTTTCAAAATCGTAAAAAAAAAGAAGAAAAAAAGCGGTTTGATATGCATACCCGAGTGGCCTTTTCTTTCTCTGTCAGCTTGCGTATCCGATATCTGCAAACGTATTTTGTTGACTTATTAGGCATTGTATCCAGTTAATGTAAGATAGCTGTATATTTCCAAACCCATTTTTTCTGCACGCATCAAAGCATACTGTAAATCATTAATGACGTACCCCGGAATAATATCTTTGTAGATAGCCAATTGAACTCGTATACTCATTTTCTTTACAGTTAAATTCTTGTCGTTTGCAATTTCGCGTAATTTTTTCAATCGCACAATCTAATACAAATTCCAATATTTGACATTAATTTATGGAACATGTAGAATTTGTACCATATCAAAAAAAGGCAACTTTTGCCGAACTAGTATCTTAAACGTAAACATACTTTATACACATAATATATCTATTGTTAAAGTAAACGCAAACATGGAACATACGTTTTTCTCCGGATCCGCAATTATTGCCTGCGAAATTTCAGCAAGTTCTTCTTTTTTTTGAATCACGTATTGTTCCTTTGACAACTTGGATTTTGGTATTTCTTTGACGATAGGCTCAATTGATAGTTTCCCGACTTTGTCATCAATGGTTGATGCATCCTCTAAACCCTGGCTTCTTAATTCATTCCTATCAACATTCTCTTTAAAATCAAATTTAGTGACTAAAAAATTCGACCTTCGCGTTGCGTATGAAGAGAATACAATCACCCAAGCCGATTGCATTACGCAACGTAACTGTACCTTCATCTGCTGCGACAATCTGTATCTTTCCATCAGGTAACTTGATTGGTAATTTTTCATTCTCTTTCGTCCATGATTTCCCCATTTCTCTCGGTACTTTTTCATATTCTTGCTCTTCGTCCGAATGATTCACAAATACTTGTCTCATTTCATAATCTTCGTCTTCAGACGTATCATTTGGCCTGTTATCCCCATGGGTCGAACGGATCATGGGTAAATTTGTTTCCTTTGCTGGATTTCTTAAAGAGTTGATATAAGTAAGTTGATTATTTACACAAAATGAAGACTTAATCATTCACTTACTTATGCAGAGCGATTGCGTTGAATGTATTGAGAAAACCAGCAAATTGTCTATGCTCTTTGAAAAAACCAATGTCGTCTTCTCCAACTTCTGTCTCTTCAACTCCTTCCACTATAGGCAATATATTCGGTATTCTGGACTGCAAGATCAACGAATTTGTTAACTATTGAAATAATAATAATCGAGTTCTGTATACACTAACCAAGGATTTCGCTCTCATTTTCCTTTTTATTTTAGACGTTCGAGCTGCCAATGGCTTGACCTTTGAGGATCCGTGCTTTTTTGATTTGTTTTTAGGCATGTTTCTATTGAAAAATGAAGGCAATGTGAGGATTGTCTATTACTGTCAAAAGAATTTTTACGTTGTGTAACTAATTAATCCGTACTATTTGTGCTACATCTGATTGGTATAAATAATGCGCGTCGCTTCCCTTCCTAACCAAACGTCTCCCCAATATTCTTTGCGACGTGTCATACCTCCTCTTCTAATGAATATTCTTTCTCTTGACCTTCTCTAAATAACTTTGTACATATGTGGTCGGTCTTCCCGTCTGACCGTCGCTCTGTCTCTGACATGTTATAAAGCTAGCTTTTAGCGAGTATCCGTAACCAGAACTATTCCACTTATCTGTATATCGTTCGATTGTTGTAAATAGTTACTTTTTTTTTAATACTGTGATTCTAAAGACGGCAGCTCAAGATTATCTATATAATCTTCAAAAGCAGCAGTATGCATGGGACTTGGTAATAAGTCGGCGAAAGGACATGGCCATGTCATAGTTGCGGAAATCGGATTTTTCATCAAATCTATGATTCGATTGACAACGGTGTCGGATGACCTACTCCGAGTACAGGAAATCAACATCAGATATATTCATCTGCTGACTGAGGACATTCAAAAAGGTGAGCACACAACCTATGGCTTTTTACTCTCGCTCCAAACTTGTAACCCTCTATGAATTTGGCACAAGATATAACAGTATATATTGCTTGCACATAGTTACTGATGTTGTCTCATCTCATATTCATATTGTTAAGTTTGGCTGCCTTCCAAGAACACATGGAACGCGCCGCATAATATGCCAGACTCCATAACACTAATCATGTTCAAAGCCTAGAATGGATTATTTTGGGGAGAAGCGGATTATCTATTCAACCAGGAGGCAGCCTTTGCTACTTCCGCCGCTACTACTGCTGCTTCCGCCGCTACTACTACTGCTTCCGCCGCTACTGCTGCTGCTTCCGCCACTACTGCTACAGATGATAGATGGATAGCAGGATTATAAAGTGGAATCACTCAAAAAAGACCATCATGAACAATGGTACAACATGCGTCTTTGGTTTTCTGTCAGAAGATAAGATTGCTTTGTCTTGTAAAGTCTTCAAGATCAATATTTCTTATAATGTCAATATGGTGCGTCGATGGAGGACGCCTTAATAATTGGAATAGATAGGATCGTTCGAACAAATACTTTTTTGTTATTTGAGACCGAGAATGTGCGTCCTATCATTGAAAAGACTGCCTTGGACACTGGGACAACAATTGCGACCGATATCGAATCCTTGGACACTGGGACAACAATATCGAATCCTTGGACACTGGGACAACAATTTCGAATCCTTGGACACTGGGACAACAATTGCGACCGATATCAAATATTCATATGACTGTTCCAGCGGTACCGTTTACCACCGGTGAGACTTTATCATCTTAGGAGGCATGCGGCGAGCTTTCTTAATCGACGTTAATGATATGCCGTAAAGAATGGGGTTAAACGGTCAGCCACAAAACCAATATTAATATGCCATCAAACGCTATGCAAAACGCAATCTCGACAAACAGGATCTTCACCGAGTTGACATTCAGATAGAAATTACCGATGGAAACCCTTTCATTTCTGATGACCTAGACTGGACAATTACCATAAGAACATTTCTGTTGACATTGGCAAGTAAAATACTTGCAGACTTTCAAGCAGATCTTGAAGACTGGTTGTACAGATGCCAATCTGTATATGTTATTTGCTTAGACTTATTCTCGCTATTTGCTTATATTGTTAATAGTGTCGATATTTGACGTATTGTATTTTGATATATTATTTCCGGTTAGGCGTCATAATTTTTTTGTCGTTCTAAGATGAACCCACATCTCCTTTGTATATCGTTAGCAATTCCTTTTCCCCCCCCTCCCTTACATTTATTATTAAAAAAATCAATTTATAATATTTTAATAAAGTAATGTCAAACAAAGCTTAATCCAGTAGAACAAAGGCACTTCAAACTAGCTTCATGTAATGCAGTTTACAAACCAGATGTGGACTGTTCTTCTCGCGATGTCTAACTAACTGCACTCGGAGGCTTGCTTTGTGTATACAGTCAAAGCTCGTTATAATGAATCTCATTACAATGGAATCGCTTTATAAAAGAACTTTTTTCTTGTCACAATTTTCATATATTAAAAATCGCTCGTTATAATGATTTTTATAGTAACTCGAATTATTGGCTATAATGGAATCTTGGTATGTATTCAAAATTAATCACAATGGAAATAGGGTATGCAACCGACATTCCAACGCCGTCAACACAAAATTGGCAATAAGATATTATAATATATAATTAACACTAACACTCTAACACGGCCAATATTTTAAAAATGTCCGATGCAATCTCAGATAACGGTTTATTATGCCTTTAAGCAGTGAATGATTGCCTGGACAACAATTTCTTCGATTAGTTATTCCACGAAACTCCCTCTCCAAAATTGCGTGTAGCTTTATTGTCAAGCTATTGTTGAAGTTGTTATATGATTTGCAAGCGCGCGGATTTCAAAAAATCTAACTGGTAAGGCTAACTAGTACTAGGTCAATCACATGAGATCATAAGCAATATGTTTTATAAGAACCTTTTCTATATGGTAGAAACATTAGCTACCATATTATCTATGAAAACTCCCACATGTAGCTACCGAAACAAGATTACAAAAGTGTCTAAATAGTAGCATCAATGCTAAAACTTTCCAAAAGTTAGTAACCTCGAACATATGATAAAAACACTTGACTTTCCAATAAATACATTTTAAATTTAATATGGTATAAGACCCAATTGACCTTTTCCCTTCGTTTGTATCGAAACCTGTTCATGTTTTAATGTTTTCTATACAGAAATATTAGAGTGACAGTCGAGATGTTTGTTCCAATAAAAGGATTATTCTAAAGACTCTCTATTATGGATCGGCTATTTAGTAGTCCGGATTTTCAATATCACGGAAACGTTGTGCTAGGTCGTCAGCGTGATGGCCGTTACGACTTTTATACCAAATTTAGCATTCGATATTGCATTACTAAATCCTAATAGGCCAACAATTGTCAGTTATTTCACGCAGGACTGTCCTCTGGACTTAAGTGTCCTCTATATTAACTCGTGTTTTTGCGCAAGAATAACAATTCGATTCACGCGTAGAGAAGTTTCTAATTCCGGTAAGTATATGCATTAATGAGTATATTTTTAATTTTTGATAAACCATATAAGGGTAACCCACATGGAAAGTTCTTACCGACAGCTTGGTAAAGCATATCCTCAAGCGAAAAGAAGTATTATTACTGGCTTTCATGGTGGATCGAAATTTTCCATATTTATCCTACTCCGTTACCATAGTAAAATTACGATCGGCAATTTTGGTATTATAGCACCTTTTTAACAGGAGATTCGCAACTATATTAATTTCTGTGATCAGTTTATTATGAATACTTTGCTGGGAAGTGATAAATGTAAGCTTCAACAAATTTGTTGCCTTCAAATTTGGATTGCAAAAGTTATACAGAACCCGCGCTTTAGCATCACAACGTTTATATTTTACAAATGCACAATGTGGCTCTTTAGCAAACCATGCTTATTGTAAACAGCTTGCATCCTTTGCCATAAGCGTAAAATTTTGAAAAAGTTACGTCATTTTACAGCATTCGTATTCTGAATACAACTTAAAAAATATGATAGTAAATGCAAGTTTATATCAAATAAATATGAGAGACCGTAGTCTATACCTACACTATCAGAGTTAATTATATACAAAATTACAGACTTTTTAGTTCGAGATCAAAGAGGTCCAAAACTCGCCCAAAAGCAGGATTACGATGGACCCCTATTCTTTGTAACCATCTTTCTGACGACGTATTATCATGCGAGAAGAGCGTAGCTACATTACTTGGAACCAATAACTTTCATAGTATTGGTATCCGTACTCTTCAAATGTTGCATATCTGATATGTTACAAGAATAATTTTTGCACAACGGCAGTTCTGTGTACATAAAAAGTTTAAAATAAATCAAGTCAAACCTAAAATTAAAAAAAACCCTTCTGGAAAATAGACACTGATTCTTAAATATTTACTTGAATACACTAACAAAAGCACATAAATGGGATCAATGGTTTCTGGAATGTAGATGTGCAATGCACATAACCTGATAACAGGCGGACAAAAGGTTGAACGCTATTTAATTTTGCTACAGAATATTTAGAGTCCAAAGTGTTTTCTATCATTTATCGCATAAATTGTATAATCCACAGACTTTAGTTTTGGTGAGCAATGGATCGAATGTATAATTTAACAGCGTCAATACGACTACGACACGCTTGGAGTAGCATTGTATTTATGAAACCACGACATCCTGAAGCAAGAAAGGAAGCTCGATATGCGATTGATTTTTTTGCTGCGAGCATATTTAATTTTGCAAAATTCGAAACAATCTTTGCTTATTTCATGACTTGCCATTAATGTTTAATAAAGTAGTTTATAGGTGTTCAGTCTTGTCACCATTGTCGAGATTACGAATTGGTGTAATCGCAAAACTTTCATTGATACGCCATCAAACGCTTACAGAAACCAGAGCGTTTTAGATGTAAAGTTTGAATTGGTAAGCAAAGACAAGGAACAACCTGCTCACGGCAGCATTACATATGCTGGGTTTCAAACTCAAAAGTCTGAAACACATTGCCAAACTTTAAACGAAATTCATGTGATCATCGATTGCTGCACAAGTTACCTTACTATATTAATATAGGATTGTGGATATGCAGGACGCCGAAAATGGTCCAGTTACTGGGCGTGTTGCACAAATTGTGACTCGCGCTGTAAACGATCTGCCCATTCAAACTTTGATGCATCAAACAGATGCACGGGATTACACATTGTCTCCAGTATTTTGGAACACAACAGCCAAAAGAGTTCGCTCTTTAAGAGAATAAATGACGATCTTTATTATTGAAAAAGGAAACCCATATAAAAATATAATCGTATATATAGGCATATAATATATAATATACACAAATATACGTATTTGGAGGGCAAGTCGAATCCTAGTTAATATTTACTTCTTTGATGTCGTAACAATTAAGTATTGCAATACTATGGCACGCGCTAAGCCTTTAACAGTACAAATGAACTGTGAACCGCTTTTTTGCAAGGCTACGGTTATAACGAAGACTTCAGGGGGTGGTTAGCTTAAAATAGATGTTGTGCGATGCAAAATTTTTTTTACTCTAGAAACTGCAACGCCAAAATGCAGGTGCAGGTAATGTTGTTGCTGTACATACTGTATATGTGTTATAAGCAATGGAAAACCTGTAGTTATCAACCAATCCGTGTAACCACACTTGGTTTACTATGGTAGATATTAATATTGCAATTTGTGATGATGCCAAGTTTCTTATCTTGTCCTGATAAAGCGCGCAGATAGCCTTGTATGTTGAATTGAGTTCAAAAAGCAACAAGTGTAGTTGACGCGTATATTTTTGCCAATGACCCAATCACAGTCAATAAAGATGGTTCTCTTTTTACAACTCGTAATTTCTTTCTCTCATCTCGCGGTCTGTGTAATAATGTTCATTATTCTTCCCCAAAATAACCAAGATTAGCGACGGTGGACGATTATACTTGGTTTGTCTGAGCATTGTGACTAAAGCCTTAGGATATGATTGAAAACAATTAAAAAATTGTGGTTAATTCAAATCCGGTGCTAATACTAATAAATATGTTATTTGCTCCTTAATGGTTTCGGGTCATACGTAAAATACTATTAGCACTTTACATTATGCCTTGCGGGTCGAATGGGATTCGTCAATGAGAATGACTATCAAATTGTGCTAATTTGGTGAAGTGATGGTCGATCTTAATATATGCTAATACTAACACAATTAATAAAAGCATTCATAAAAGCATAATTCTCTATAGATATTAAATCAGTTGAGGTCATAATTATTGCTAAATTTGTAAAGAGCGTATTTAGCGATCGAGACCAAATGATGACATTTGCTCTAAATGAGATTGTACTATCTATATTGCTCGGAAGACCCCTTAGTATTCTTAGTATTAGAAAGTTGCCAAGGGATTTGTTGTGATTGCCCATATGACGTATACTTGAGAGTTTCCCAGGGCCCTGCTGCACAAGTATCGAGAGGAGAGCAATGGATATATAGATAACCCCCAATGAAGAAAAACCCAGAAGTGGATCACAGTTTAATTTTTTGGCCTAATAGACCATTCTTTAACGTTGCAAACCATAATCAGTCCTAGTGTCTTGCTTCCAATCTTTCTAGAAGGTTGATTCCTTTTTCGGGTTGACAATGATTCAATACATCCCGAAGCAAAGGGAGGATGATTACAATTGAGAAAAAGATCGGGTCGGACTAGTTTGGCCTATTCGATTAGACTCGCGGCGAAACAAACACTTCGTCACTAAACGTTGACTCATTTAATTGTTATCTTATGATATTATTGTAGTCTTGGCATTTGTTTACTTATTTGGGTAATTGCTGAATCATTTATAGTTAATCCGTTATATGAAGAGAGGATGGGAAAAAAAAAGAAAAGGGAAACAAGTTTTGCATGAGACGATAAGAATGTGGCAGTTATAATGATCAAATTTGTCAGTTCCAAACTCACAGACGACAGACGGTCAAACCATGTCATCGTCAATATGTAAGGTGCTGGCTGTATATTGAGTCTCTCGACTCGATGGAATAAATAAAGACTTTGATGCTAGTCAGAATTAAATATGAAAAGGGTGTGATAACTTTTAGTGTGGTAATTTCCAATAACAATAAATAATGAGCATAAATAATTGCGATAACAGTAATGATTAATTTTTTCTGCCAATTCGAGGTTGGTGTCAAGTTGGCAACGTTGGGGAAACTATTCACGGTTTTTAAGAGAATGTTTGTCTGTATTAGTATGTCAATGAAACACAGTAAATTCCTATTAGACAATTTGTTATAGATGCGGTGTGTTTATTATTGTGTGACTATAATGGGATTTGAGTTTTCGAGGTCTTTATCAGGCACACATGTATAACGGATTTGATGTTTACAGAGAAGCTTGACTGTACAGTATTCCCCCAATTGAATAGATGCTTGGCCAAGTTCTCTCTTTCCCATCCACCCATCCTTCGAATTGCTTTATCCGGACCGTTCCACCTAAATCAAGCCTATCGGTACCATTTTGTCACATTAGCGTTACCACTGGCACCAAATGCAAACACTAAAATTCCAAAATCGTACACCCTAAACGACCAAAAAAACAATTCCTGGAAGGGGTTGTCAGAAAAAGTTGCAATTTTGACCAACTGCACGCACTACAACTTTAATTGTCAAACGTCTATACATAGTCATCAACACTTAAGCAAAAGTAAACCTATCCTCTTACTTTTTTACCATAACATAATATAAATGAGCACAACCCAAAAACCACCCCCTCGTCCCTCCCACTCCGTCCTACCAAACTCGCCCTCTCCTGCAAGACCTCCGCCAACCAATTTCAAGGCAAACTACTATTCTCCAGCTACTTCTCAACAAGATACTCTGGTTCCTCAACGCTCGGCCCCTCCTCCGCCTAAAAATAATTATAAAACTGGGCAAGCGAGTCTAAAAATGAGTTCTACATCTTCGAATAATTCAAATGGAAGGAGTACGCAATCTTTGAGAGGACAGTCATCGGGACAGGGCAGTGGAGCGTATAGGAAGGGTCCCCCTGCTAAATCCAATAAACCTCCACAGGCAATCTCTACTTCCGTTCCAAAAAGTCCGTCTAGTACTAGCTCCAAAAACGGTAGTGGGGATAGTTACTTGTCACCTACTTCTCCAAACTTCAGTTCCGCTGGGTATAATAACTCACTTAAAGGCGCTCCTGCTATTAATGTGCATGGTGAACCTATACAATCACCTACCGACAGAGAGAGTGGGAGTGGAAGATCCTTCAAGGGAGTGCTTAATAATTTTGTTAATTCAATGACAGGTGAGGACAAGTGCTTTTTGGATGGTCGAAGCAGTGAAATTCAATGGAGAGGCGTGCTGTAAAAACGTGAATGCGGTAACCATTGTAGTGGTATTCGAAATACGTTTAATGTCTGTGTGTTTACTATGACTCTGTCAGTTAGTCCGCTTGCAATTTGTTCTTTGCAAGAGACATTCTTTTAGTATTCCGAGTCGCTTAATTGTTTTTAAATTATGATCATTATTACATTATTTGCTAATCAATGAATTGACTTCCAGACCTTTTAGGACCCCCAAAGAGAGTTGAGATTTCGTCCCCGTATGATCCGGTTCATTTGACTCATGTTGGATTCAATCAAGATACGGGAGAATTCACGGTGAGATACTTTCTTGTGAATTGGAGGACATGAAGAGTAGTTTAAAGCGCGCATGCATTAGTACACATATCATGTTTCATATATTTACGATCGCCGTTTGTTATTCATAGGGTTTACCTCAAGAGTGGCAGCAACTATTACAAGATTCGGGTATCACAAAACAAGATCAAGAAGCAAATCCTCAGGTATTTTATTCGTATTCGCCGGCTGTCTTGCTAGATTTTCAAGTCTCATCCATACTAATTCTGCTTCTATTCAGGCTGTGTTGGATATTGTTGGGTTTTATCAAGATATTACAGGCAATACAAACCCAAATTTGATCTGGGAAAAATTTAATAATGCTAAATTGACCAAGACACAACCTAAAGCGCCAACAGCTGGATCAAGATCGCCACCGCCGCATACTGACAAGGCATTTGAAAATCCCGTAAGTAAAGAATTAAGCAATACTAGAACCTGTGTTGTTCCCGTAGAAAATTGAAGGAATATAAAAAGGATACAATGAACAGACACCAAAAAGAAATATGTGTTATAGACAAATTGTTACCTCTAGGAGACGAAACAAGAGTTGTTGAACTAACCACGAGCATTTGTTTCTCGGCTGGGCATTTCGTATACTCAGCGAATAGCTCCATCGCCACCGGAACTAAAAAAGAAATCCTCGCCTCCTGTACCGGCAAGACCAGCAAATCCACCATCACCAGCGGTGAGTGTACAATGGGGATCAAGTATTGTGAATCGGCTTAATATTTGTTTGAACGTTTCGACGATAACAGAATATCTGTCATATTATAGGAGATGAGAAATAGACCAACATCGCCATCATCGGCTCAAAGATATCCAAAGAGTATGTGTTGCGTACTTTCAATTTTACCTATCTCTCATTCAATTTCACAACCCATCACTCACGATTTTTATTTCCCTCTAGAAACATCACAAGACCCACCAAGGCTCCCGCCAATAAATCTTCTGCCACCACTCGACAGTCGTCCCACGCCAACGCCCCCCCAAAAACCATACAAACAACCACCGCGCCCCAAGGAAAACCTAAACCAATATTCTGTCCCTCCACCAGCAAAACCAACTCCGTCAGCAAAACCAACTCCGTCAATAAAACAAACTCCGTCAACAAAACAAACTCCGTCAACAAAACAATCTCCGTCAATAAAACAAACTCCGTCAACAAAACCAACTCCGCCAGCAAAACCAACTCCGCCAGCAAAACCAATCCCATCAGCACTTCAAACCGCAAAGCAACCCGCACATGCATCGAGTACTCGCCGAAGGGAACCGAAAAAATCAACAAAAGATTCAACGGATATTATAGAGCGCTTACAAGCCATCTGTACCGATGCAGATCCAACCAAGATGTATAGGAACCTGGTCAAAATCGGTCAGGGTGCATCAGGCGGAGTTTACACGGCATATCAAGTGGGAACGAATTTGTCTGTGGCTATAAAACAAATGAACTTGGAACAACAGCCAAAGAAAGACTTGATTATCAACGAAATTTTGGTTATGAAAGAGAGTAAGCATAGGAATATTGTTAACTATATTGACAGTTTCTTATGGAAAGGCGATTTATGGGTTGTTATGGAGTACATGGAAGGTGGAAGTTTGACAGATGTTGTGACGAGTAACATAATGACCGAGGGACAGATTGCTGCTGTCAGTAGAGAGGTAAGTTAACTGGGTGGAATTATTGGAATGGGTGAAACATGTAGAGGCGAGGCAAAATGTGTATCAAGGAAGTAAAAGTCTTGCGAAAGACTGCTAGACAAGGATGTGAATGTGATTGGCGAACAAATGGCGAGTGTATATAAAATCGTTATTCTATATTTTTTTATATCCCTAGACTCTAGAAGGACTTGCTCATCTACATTCTAAAGGCGTCATTCACAGAGACATTAAAAGTGATAATGTGCTTCTTGCCCTTAATGGCGACATCAAACTCAGTACGTAACGTATCCGTTTTTTTCCTTTCCCATTTCCCTCTTACGATTTTGTTCTACTCACTCGCCATAAATCTTTTTTATTGGTCTTTACAGCTGATTTTGGTTTCTGTGCCCAAATCAACGAACTCCAAAGTAAACGTACTACAATGGTGGGTACGCCATATTGGATGGCACCAGAAGTAGTAACACGCAAAGAATATGGTCCTAAAGTAGACATTTGGTCGCTTGGTATTATGGCAATAGAAATGATTGAAGGCGAACCACCGTATTTGAACGAGAATCCGCTTAGAGTAAGTTATTGAGAATTGTCCGAGATGGCATTATGTTTAATCATGTATTTGAATATATCGGTTCACTCGTTTGTTTACTAAATGCGTCTTGCCGAATTTTTCGCGCAAAATTAGGCTCTGTACCTCATTGCCACAAATGGAACTCCACAATTGCATCATCCGGAGAGTCTGTCTCCCGTGTTCCGCGATTTCTTGGCCAAATCTCTAGAAGTTGACGCTGAAAAGCGACCGACAGCTGTAGAGTTGTTAAAGGTGAGATGAAAAGAAGTTAATACTAATGTTTGTCATTGAGACAATAATTTTTGGGGTTTTTTTTTCATTCACACTCTTCCATTAATACGTCTTATGATCTTTCCAACTTGTAAAGCATCCTTTCCTTCAAAAATCAGAACCACTCCGTTCGCTAGCACCATTGATCAAGGCTGCTCGTGAGAATGCTAAGAGAGGATGATAAAAGGTGCCCTATTATTGATATGGTGCATCAACTCTATAAATCACCTGTCTTTAAAATTTTTCATCTCAACGTAGAGACGTTTTTTGTTTGTTTTGTTTTTTTAGAAAATCTGCCAGTAATTATGTTTGTTGCAAAGTTACTGGCTGGTTTGTCATAAAAAATGCCTCTACAGTGAGTTGAAAGGGGTTAAAGTTGGAGTACTTTTTATAATAACATATAAGCTCTCCAAAAATCGAAACATATCCAGGCAGGGAGAACATACACATCAGAGAATGGGCCAAAATGGCTTCAGGAGAGTGGGTTGAAGGACATGTAATTAGCTAGTTTGCTTTATTAGTTATGTTTAATGATATGTCTATTTGTTAGACATAGAGCGTAACAGTAGCAATACAATTGAAAATATATATAGAATATCGCGATAGTTGCTACGTCGCAAAGTCTGAGTTTATATAAATAGAGGATGGCAACTCCTATTAATTAATGATACGTTCATTCATATATTAAATTTATTGTCAATTAGTGAACCCATCATTGGAATGAATCGAAGTATATTCCCTTCTTAATAAACACCTTCGATCTGCATCACCGTTGGTTATTGTTTCTTACGGATGGATTGAATCGATCAACTATAACTAAAAATAATCAACTATAATCAATCAATTGGCATAATTATGCAAGCAATCCGGAGAAAAATTACCCGGCGCCATTTAGATCTCTATTAATTTAAAGTCCACACCCATCACACCCAAATACTTTATTTCCACCCAAATTCCTCCTAATATATCCGCAACGACTTCATGTTTTTCCTAAACCTAGCATCATCTTTCGAACTGTTTTACTATTAATTTTTCTTTTTCGTCTATGAGACATCTGAATTTTGGTAACACGGTTATGTCAATTCTTAGTTCTAAATTTTGAATACGCGTGATTACGCTTTTTTGCTAATGCTCTGGTGGTGCGTGAGATAAAGGCATCAAGGGCAAAGCATAAGCGAAAAACACGATTGATATCATTGTCTCTGATGCTTCCATGACCAACTGGGAGAGAAAAGTGCGAACTCCAGGATCGACGGCTGTATATCCATACAAATGTCCAATATCCTAGTTTCCTCTCCTTCGAGTCCATTTTAACTTTGCCAATCTCATTCGGCTAACCATTCGATGTTCATGATGAAATGGTAGCTTCGTTTTGTGACGTGGATGATTAGGATCAACAGCAAGAAGCGCGTTATTATGTAGGAGCCTGGTATAAAAACGGAGTGGTTCGCGACCATGGATCCTTATTCCTTGTGATACCAATAGTTTTAAAGCTATACGTTGTTGTTGATATTCTGTCATGGTGCAATCGAAATAGAAGATAGTGGATTATATATAATTTAATTTAGGTCTCCGTGGTAAATACTGTTGTATTGGTATGTCGGCATAGGTCCGAAAGCTTGCAGTTGGTGATCCTTCTCGAGCTAAACAACCCGATATGATTGGGAATATCATCAATAATGGTATTTATAAAAAAAAAAATAAATAAAAAAATAAAATAAAAAAATAACAATCAGCATACTATATTCTAATCGTTTTATTTAGCATACATAAATAGGCAAATTTGCATATGAGGTGATGTTTGGAGAAGTGACAGGCGAGGGCAAGAATAACATGGAAAAGAAAAACCTAATTGATCTGATTAGGTTGGGAATATTTATGAAGGACTCACTGGATAGAATTTTGCTTAAACCATTGGTAAGCTGGTCTTCCAGGAACGCTTGTTTTAGCTAATCTTATCCTATCTAATTAATGATTCTTCACGTAATAAATAGTCACAAAATGGACCGGTTATCTAATGACTTTGATTTATCCTGGGATTTATGTGATGATCGATACTGGTGGTAGTGTAGAACTTCCAAGATCCTTAGTGGACCAGACACATTGCTTAAATTTCAGGTATGACTATTAATTGCTGAAGTTTATTAATATTACTTGTTAATTCGATATAAAATGACTAATTCAAAACTGTTCTCTAGCTTGCGTATGAAGAATCACCAAATGATAACTTTAAAACATGGCATCGTCAAACACTTGGAACACCAACATTCAAAAGAATCGTCAAATTCAAATGATAGTATAATTGGTTCAAAAAAACATCACGTAGTCTCTCAACATTATCAACTGTGTATTTTTTCAGGTTTACAAGAGAATTTTCAAGTTTTGGTTTATCCTTAATATTAGCCACTGAGGTGGTGGTTTCCTTCCACTCCTCATCCAAAAATAGTGATTTGGTGACCACATCGATGTCATTGATCATAAATGAGTGTAAATATGACTCTTCGGGAAGATTTCTGGCGAATTGATAAATAACTTCTTCTACTTTACGACCACTTTCAGCAACCACATATGATTGGGATCTAATTCCAAGTACGCTCCCTCGAATTTTTTCAGGTAATCCTCGATAGGTAATGTTTCATTAGTTGATTGCATAGGTGATGTTTCGCTGGTTGATTGCTCCAGAAGGTCTATATTTTCTTCATCGTTACCGTCATCGACATTATGATCCAAGTTTTTGTAATATATTCGGGGACGTTTTGGGATCTCGTAACCACTCGGTGCAAAGCAAGCTTTTGCTGTTGCACTTGTAGCATTCCTCGCTACATCTTCGATTTTACGCTAATAATTACAACGTATAAGAGGAAAGATAGACAGTAAATTAATTCAGAACCAAGTAGGGCAGAATACCTTATTAATATTTTCCTTGATCTTATTTTCAATTGTAGCCCGTAGTATTACTTCTTGATGCTCCAAACACATCCGAAAGTCTCACGATCGGTAATAGCGACGGGCGGTGTGTGCAAAGGAATCAACGCGAGCTAATGACTCGCGCTTACTAGGGATTCCTCGTTGAAGAACAATAGTTGCAATGCTCTATCCCCAGCACGATGAAGTTTCACAAGATTACCCAGGCCTTCCGGCCAAGGTTGGAAAAACTCGCTGACTTCATCAGTGTAGCGCGCGTGCGGCCCAGAACATCTAAGGGCATCACAGACCTGTTATTGCCTCAAACTTCCATCGGCTAAACGCCAATAGTCCCTCTAAGAAGCCGACGACCGTTCGGGAGAACAGCCTGGCTATTTAGCAGGTTAAGATCTCGTTCGTTATCGGAATTGACCAGACAAATCACTCCACCAACTAAGAACGGCCATGCACCACTACCATAGAATCAAGAAAGAGCTCTCAATCCGTCAATCCTTACGATGTCTGGACCTGGTGAGTTTTCCCGTATTAAGCCGCAGGCTCCACCCCTGGTGGTGCCCTTCCGTCAATTCCTTTAAGTTTCAGCCTTGCGACCATACTCTTCCGGGAACCCAAACACTTTGGTTTCCCATGAGGTGCCGAGCGCATCATTTTGTCAACATCGCCCGATTCCTAGTCGGCATAGTTTATGGTTTTAAGACTACGACGGTATCTGATCCCCTAACTTTCGTTCCTGAAAAGTTCAGAAAGGAAGACTGTAAGTAAATGTTAAATATAGTAGATGATAAATATCAAAATTGATTGTGCAAGTCACACATGCTATAGTGGGATTTTAGGTCCGGGCCATAACATGCTACCCACTTCAGGCAAGCAGAAGAATGCCCGTCAATCGATAGAAACCGCAGGGTACGACTTACGCAATCTTGACAGCAGAGTATAAAACGAACTTTCAGTTGTTTCCTGATCGCTTTTGTCTTGCACCATTCACGAATATTTTCAGAAAAGTGATTAAGAAGTGTTTCAAGTTCACTCGCTAGTTGACAGCCGGGCATTTCATTGATAAAATAGAGATCCCAATCCGCTACGCTTCCTCATAATGTGGAATCTTTCCCAGTACTCTGATAGGAGAAAATACACATTAACAGAAACGAAGGATATCAAGTTGTTTTTCGATCTCGGAGACTAAGACTGAGATTTGGTCATGTACGGAACGAAAATTTTTAATCGATTGTTGCACAATAATCATAAATAAATGAGGCAAAAAAATATAGAAGCAAGCGAAATATATGATGCTATCAAAGAGGAAGAGAGTACGCGGATCCTAGGCAATTTAATGCGAGTCCCAGCATCAAGTTATTTCTTTGCTCTCTCACATTTACGAAAAACATCTATAATTAATTTAATTAATTTGTTTCTACTTCTATTGCTAACTACAGTTGACACTGTTTGTACCGAATCCAGGTGTACGTACATTCATGACAGGTTATGGAGTAGCTGTTGAATGACATTGGCCGAATTTATCGATTAAGTCATGCATGTGACAAGCTTCAAAGTAAACGCGATTGTAGGTGCTATGTTACGCATTCACAAGAGGATCCGTTGTCTTGTGAATGATTATCATCATAAACTAGCTACCCGAAAGGAATGGTCCGACGTGGACAACGACGCATTGGTTCCAAGACTGCTCGAGCCATGGTCACATTTTTTTCAACAGCATTTGATCCACAAGGCAAAAACTTGTGGATCCTGCATAAAAAGCTAGGCGGATCTAAGGTGGTTTGCTGTCCCCAATGTTTGATAGAGATATTAATGGTGCTCGCAATATTCTTCTTCGATATCTTACAAAAAAGGCGTCAGCTTAGGCTGACGCGGGAGCCTATTCCCTGACAGGACTAAGAGATAATTGAATTTGTGAGAACAATAATAATAATAATAGAGTAGTAGTACGAATCTTGTGACTTAGCCGCATCGTTAAAATTGTTCAATATCTGATCTCCAGTGTGATAACAAAAATGCCTCAAGTTCTCAACCGAAGACATCATGACGACCCCTCTGGACCTCTTCTGAACAACACCTCGTCTTCACAGTCAGAACACGGAGTCAAGGAGAAGAAACGATCATTAACTTCGCGAATAAGAAGAACTGTGATATGGACTGGTATGACGTTTGGTGTCATTTGGTGGTTTGAAGTTGTTCGCGGGGTCTATGAAATCTTATCGTGGGATTCACCGTTAGTGTGAGTCAATCATTCTACTCTTTTACTGAATAATTGTCGGCTTGATAACGTAATAGAAAGTAAAATACACAACTAACGTTTCCCTCGCCTATATTCAATGTGACAAGTTCCCTCTTCTTAACATCCGTAGTGTGTCTCCTCATATCAACTACGATCTTGTTTTACGTCCAATTCTACCTCCCTTTAATATCTCGCACAGCGCCCCCAAACTATAAACGTTGGCACGAGAATGTAACGCTAAGAAAATATATTCCTGTGGCTACATTGTTTGGAACATTCGGTGTTATTGGGTTAATAATAGCCTCATGGCCCGTGTGGGGATTTTGGAGTGTAGTGGTTGTGACGGTACTCCTACGAGGCGGAACGGAAGGATTGGATGTGATCTGGGTTATTTGGGAATGGGGTGTATTAAATAAGGTGATAAGGAAAAAGGAGAGGAACGAGGACAAGAACGAGAAGGAGAAGCACAACGACTGATTGCAAAAACATATTTTCCAATAGATAATATAAAAATTTCCTATTCATCGATTGATTTATGCAAAGGACTGGCCTATATAATCTGCAATTAGCGAGCACCAGTTAGATGGTGAATATAGAAAGTCTCCTTTCAATCTATTTACTTTTGCTTCCGCAAAGGAAACTTTTGGTGTGTCTCTTATCAATGATGTTGTGATATTGAGTTTGTTTATAGATTGTTACATGTCGTCGTTGAGCCCTATGAAATAATCAGTGTTGAAACATTAATTGTGCTATCATTGCCTGAAATTCTACTAATAAACATATACTTATACAACATTAAAATTATTATATTACATGAACTCGAGGATAAGGGCTCCATGGCAAGTAACGATCTAAGAACAAAATTTGAATTTAAACGAAGTGTTCATCTGGAGCAGACAAAGTGAACATGTCTATGTCATATGTGCATCAAGATTAATCTCGATTTTTTTGGGGGTCTGCATTTGTCATCATTAAACGATAAGATAATAGCTTATGAGCTTCAGTCTTAGCTTTGTCGGTTAATCAAACTTTAAACTACAGAAGAACAGTTGACCGCAAAGTCGAAGAATGCAAACACAAAGTAATTGCATGGGAGAAAATATACATTTCCAAAGCTGTCAATGATAACAACCATTCATCTCGTCCATAAAAGGCGGTCCGTATCCCTACTAGAAATACTACCAGAACGACCGGATAATCTGATTGATGAGATCCTCGTGTGGAGTTGGAAAAAGTTATCAAGGGTAGGTAAATTTTTCCCTTACGGTTGAGACAGTTTTAAGCTAAGTAAGAATGGCTATTTGAGATGTGAACTGTTATGCTGACTGGAAGGGTGTGTGATAATGGTTATAGTAACTTATTTAGATCGAGGATAAAGATCACTGCAAACCTCGTTAGAACTTCTCGACATACAATAGTAATCATTCGAACTGAAAAGTGTGTTCTAATACTCTTTTTAGTAGGACGTATCAATGAGCACATAAAGGAGGAAATATAGTAACAGTCCAATTACCAAAGTAGTGTCTACATCACATTCATTGCACTCGGTTGAAGTTATTCCTTAGAGAGAAAATAGCCAAGTCCAGATCATGTCTTGAATAATAATAATTCCCGCTATATTTAAAGAAGAGGTCTTCAGGGTCCTTTTATGACAATTTCGCCGGGTACCTTGTTGTTACTACAAAGTTTCGCTCGTGCCTTTCAAATAGTTCGTACTACGGCTTACATGTAAACGTTTTTCGCGTGAAAATTATTGGGTATTTACTGCAAGTATGCAAGTCGAATATGCAAGGCGTCATTTGATGCGTCAAACCGTTCGCAAAAAGACGCACGGATAGCCAAGGAGCATTCTCTTAGTTATTAAGAAATGTCCAGATGCGGAAGGGTATCACGCTACTTATGGTGATGCATTTGCTGATTTCCGTTAGGCTTTCACTTGTTGCACTAATGACCGCATTCGGTAATCCAGCGATGTAGTAGAACAGAAGTTAGAGATAGGTTTAAAATATAGCGATACATAGTCAGAGACATTTTTGTGTAAGAGAGCTAACTGCGTATAAATTACGCTATGTCAGATAAAGACGTTCCAAATGAAAAACAACAACACATGATTGCAATGGAAGGCGAAGATCCAGAAGTAATAAGATGCATTTGCGATTACACGGACGACGACGGTTGGACTATTCAGTGTGATCAATGTAAAGTCTGGCAGCATACAAACTGCGTAATAAATGATAAAGAAATCCCCGACAAGTACCTCTGCGACAAGTGCCATCCACGTACTATGCATGTGGAGCGGGCTAATGAGCTCCAGCGATCCTTACGAGGAGCTGGTGAGCTTACTAAGCAGGTTGGGCCAGAAACACAGCGCAATGACCAGCAAGATTCTGACGTAAAGCCTCTAAACCGGAGGTATACCCGTAAAGTGTCGAATACAAGAGCACGCAGACCGACAGCTTCGGGAAAAGAGAGTTCAACAAGCCCCCCACAGCCTGAGCAGAATCAAAAACGACGACTAAAAAATGGTAGGAATTACGTAAGAGAGAGCAACGACGAAGACGATCAAGACACATTTGAAACCGACGAAGATGAGGCAGCCCATGATTTTCCGTATACACAAATTACTGAGAATAACGTTGTCCGTAAAGAGGTTGAGGAACTTTTCCGAACGGTTTTATCACAGTACCAACGGCAGGCACAAGACAGAAAAAGGTCCCTATCACAATCTTCCGCTACCAAATTGTCTTCGATAGATATTCTTGGAGACATTGGGAAAAAATATCGCACATCAGAAGCACGACAATCAGGAAATAATACCACGAAAGATATAATAATGACACGTTCATCAATGCCAAAGGCAGATCTTGCTAGACAACTGGTTCGGGTAGAGCGAGAATCTCTAGCACACCCAGTAATAGAACCCGTTGTCAAAAAGATAAGAGTAACGGACACTAATAGGAAGCAGAATTGTATAACATACGGCTTATTTGCTGAGACAAATATATCACCTAAACAATTCATATTTGAGTTCAAGGGCGAAGTTAGCTTAAAATCAGCTTATCAGGCTGACCCAAATAATAATTATCCCTTACTTGGTGTGGCTAAACCTTTTGTTCTTTTCCATCCACTAATAGACCTCTGTGTTGACGCACGATCATCCGGAAATAAAACACGTTTTATTCGGCGATCGTGTCATCCAAATGCAGAGACTCGAAGTATAATGGTGCCTGGTGAAGAAGAACAAAGAATTCATTTGGGTGTCTTTGCAAAAGGTGAAGCAATACAGAAAGGAAAGGAGATAACTGTTGGATGGGATTGGGAACCGAATCATATCGCTTTCAGTCTTATCGAAGGGAAAGATGATGTTTTCAATGACGGCTTGGATATCACTACTAGAAGAAAAAAAATGTCAGATGTTGCGTCGGCTATTCTAAATATTACCGATTGTGCATGCGAAACGATGGACAATTGTATAATTTATAAATTGATACGCGAAGGTAAGCTCAAAACGGCAAGTACGTCAACAAGTGTGTCTGGAAGGAGATTGCACGGATCTGAATCGGAGAGCTCAATTTCTAAGACTGTTTCTACTAGTGGATTATCCGAAAGTGATAGCACGGCGATTGCAAATGATTCCGTGCTTTATTTTGCACAAGCTGCAGATAATAGGGAAGATCTTATGAGTTCTCCGATTACTTGTGGGTTACCTTTAAAACAATATTTAGTTGAAATGCACCTCCGCGAAGCCAAGGTGGTCGTAAATGATAGCGACGCAAATAGGAGTAATAGGAAGGGCGTAACAAAAAGGAAGTCATCACAATTAACATCAGCTATGACAGCTGCGCCTACAACCACAACATCTGTATCACCCATAATCCCACCTATCAAGACAATTAACGAGGAATATAGTCCCTCAGAGATAAACGAGTTTAAAGATACTAAAAGGCTTCAAGAGAAAGAAGTTGTTACAAGCGAGAAAGGCTTAGAAGCCAAGAAGCCCCGGATAATAAACGATGACAAAAGGAATGTCGACGATCGAGATTTGCTCTCACCCGAACCATCGACGTTAATTGTACCGGCAAAACGTGTTGCAAACAAAGAAAGAGTGGGTAATTTCGGCAAACAGCAGGGGTCTAACTTACAAACGAAACGCCAAAAGCTGGATAACGACTCGGAAAAGTCTTTGAAATCAACAAGAGTTACCATGACGATTGAAGTCGATGATGAAAAAGAGGAACAGACTACTCATAGCTCATTAAGTAACGAAACTCAGACTTCAACGCCTGTCAGGACAACGTCCAGCGTTCCCGCCAAACATTCTTCAATACCTCAGGAAACGCCGCTTGTTGCTCAATCGAATCAAATCACTCGCTCTAGTTCGAAGAATTACTATCAACAGCAGGTCAAGTCAGGTTCAAAGGACGATCAACCCGTTACGGAGAGCCATTTTACAAAATTGTCAGTACCTTCGCCAATTATACACAGTCCGGCGTCATCAGACACATTATCGATGGTTGTGAAGATTGAGAACGAATCTAAAAATGTGAACAACGAAGTTACTTCTGAACGCGAGCGTCGAAATAATGAGCGGTCAGATCCGCTAAAGATAAGTTCCAGTGATAAGGAACCTGAGCGACCGCTAGTGACAAGGAAATTAAGTCTGCAAGAATATAAGAATATGCAACAGGCTGAACGGAATAAAGCTTCTGGAGAGCGTGTCGCTGAAAGAGTGCCTGCATCAAGCTCGCCATCAGTAATTCAGTTGAAATCGGAGACTGATGCCAACGCCAATACGAATTTTAAACAAGTTACACGCAATAATCCGCCAGTTATGGCGGTGAAAGCCAGAATTTCGTTGAAAGAATATCACGCGAAGAAACTACGGGAAGCTTCCACAAATGTATCGAGCGAGGCGAATGTCGAAGCTCCTAAAATAGGAGAGCCTTCCTGCTCACCATCAAATGAAAAGTTTGACACAATAGGGTCTAAAGGAGAAGAGGCACTTGAAACAAACAACACACTGAGTCCAGTAACTTCCGTTGTACCTAAAGACTCAGCATCATTATCCAAATCTTTAAAGCAACCGGATATGAGCTTAGATGCAAGCCCTGCAGCACAGGATGATTACTTTCCTGAAGACTTACCTATTGAGGTTTATAGGCCGGGCGATGGAGTAAGATTTGGGGATTCAACAGTGAGTATGATCGGTAGTGTTTTCGATACCCTTAATCGTCGCAAACCTAATTAGTACGATTCTGACGTATACCGTAATCTCCAAGGATATGTCCCAGTCATCGTCATCATACGATGATGCACGCGGTAGACGCTCACCAGTTTATAAAGACTATACGTCTGGCAGACAGGGAACGGATTACAACCCGTCTCATAATAATTCATCTCTTTCAAACGATGGAACGTTACAAAGCACACGTACAACTTATACATCATCACAAAGAGGATCCAGGTATGGGCAATTCCGAGGGCGCCCATCAGGTGGGCCTTTCCGAGGACTGCCGGGAACGTCTGAACGTGGCAGATACCATGGGCCAAACTATTATAATTCATCTAGCGTTTCATCAATGAGTTCGTTGCAAAGCACGCCTCGGACTGGTCAACCATCACCATCACCACCATCAGCTTCGTCAGCTGCACCTTACGATCCAGCGAATCCAGATGGACAGACTTTAGGTGGAATGATTGAGCGAGAACAAACAGCTTCTACAGACAATGCTAATAACAATAATAGTAGTGATGTTGGTAATAATAACTTTGGCAACAATGTTAGTGCTGGAATGGTAGGTGATGCTCGTGTTAGAGACTATCCACGCCAGGGAGCCAATAATGAGAGGTTCGATCGTGATCGCTGGCACTACAATGATCGACAAAGCTGGCGTGATCGAGAAAGGGATCGCGATGATAATAGAAAAGACTGGCCCAAGCGACAGGACTATCATTACAGAGAGAGAGAGTATGGTGGCGGATCGGATGTCTCACGATATCCGTTGGGACCAAGACGGGCATCTGGTCCAGTGCCATATCAAGACCGATACGCGATGAGCAGCAGTCGCGCACCTGCTTCTTATACGGCGCGTCGTAATATTGGCGAGGATTCCCCGAGTATGACAATATCAAGTCGTAATGATATGATGGATCTCAGTGGGAACTCATCTATACTGCCGACGGGGCCTGCTGCCAGTTCGTCATCGCCGCCGTCGGGGTCGATCAAGTCTGGTGAATTGTCGCCGTCTTCGAGTAGTTCCCTCCAACGATACCCGGACGTGAGTATAGGGTCTCGCGCGTCTCGTTAAGTGTAAGGTGTGGTTTTATTGGCATTTTAATTTTTGCCGTTTTTTTATGTCTCAGGATATTCGACGGCGCAGATGATAAAATTGACATCTTGCCGCGGCAATGATGGCAACAGCTTTACAAGTCTACTCTGTAATCTACCCTCGGGCGACTTTGGAATATCCTATTGATAACGATATCTTAATGCCTTTCTTTTTTGCGTTTGAACCGCTGTAAATATTCATACATTGTTCTTTATCCGTTCCCTCATTGCAATGTCGTTTCTGTTTTTTGGTCTGGATCAATGTTAAAATTTTGTGCCATAGCGCATTATAAGTAATCAACATCCTTGTATTTTATAGCTGCCAGCCTTTTTATTTAAATCATTTTGCAAATAAAATGTACATAATACTCATTTACTTGCAACAGCTCCATGATGAGAATTTAAAGCTTCAATTTATTACTACGTGCATGCGATCAAATTTTTGCGTGCCCATCATCGCACAAAGATCATCACACCTAGTACAAACCTACCTAAACCGAAAACTCGGGAAACCAAATCTCTGACGACTTCCTTCATGGATGGTTTTATTCCTGGACAAATATTCACAACGTCGGCTAGTTTGGTTGATAGCGTTGATAGTGAGTAATCAAAATGTATTACCCGGTATCAAGACTAGATCTAATTGAGTTTCGTTTATTGCGTGATTATTGATAAGAAAAGTTATTAGTTGTTCTTCGAGATGGCAGAAAACTTATAGGAGTATTGAGGTCTTTTGATCAATTTGGTATGTTGGCTAGGAAGAAGTTCGAGAGTGTCAAATGACCCGAATAACTATATGAGAGTTTTAATATCCTGAGTTTGATATAGCAAATTTGGTATTACAGGATACAGTCGAGCGGATATACGTGGGTGATGCGTATGGAGATATTCCCAGAGGAATATTCATAATACGTGGCGAGAATGTTGTTTTGCTTGGTGAAATCGTATGGGAGATATTGCTGTGAATAAGCGTTTATTCTGTTACTGTGCGTTGGACTGTTATACCAATTGCATTTCTTTTACGTACATTTGTCTTTGAAAGGATCTCGATAAAGAAGATATTCTACCGTTGCGAGAAAAACCAATAGACGAGATACTGGCCGAGCAGCGAGAAGAAATTGAAGACCGACAGAAGCGAGACAAGCTAAAAAATAAAATGTTACATGATCGAGGGTTCAGTGTTGATTTTACCGAAACTGATCTGTATTAAGCACGACTACGAGCGAATGTAAGTGAAGATTGTCGGTTCATTCCTGGATTTGCATTTCGGTTTCACCGACTAGTCACTTTCTCGTTTTAGAGTAAAAATATTGGGACGTGAAAATAATCGAGAAGCCGAAAGAAAACATATGTCAGCGATTTCAACTGCATGGATTGCAGCGATTGTTACTGCTTTACCCGTTCTTTTAATTGACAATAGCTATAACGTCGGGATTTTCCTTAGGTGATTATCGCAAGTTATGGTATAGTCAAACGAATAATGAACTTCTTCAACTAAAACAATGACATTCTCTACATTTAATATATTGATATGACAAGTATATTAGAAATATTGTAATAAATCAATACGTCAACCACAGTAGTGGAAAATGTTTTTTGACAATGGAAATCTGAATTCGATAAACTGTACCTGACAGTCCAATCGTGAAATTTAGCTAGAGAAACTCGGGAACTGCGAGGAAACGACACGGACATCCTCAAGAAAAATTTGTCATGATCATCTCGACCTTCATTAAATTGTAAGTATGATGTTACCTGAATACTTACTACAGACAAGAAGTATATTGTATCAACAAATTACTCCATGCATAGTTCGCGATAAAAAAACTTGATTCGTTACATATCACGTGAATTACGAAGTAAGTCAGCATTCCCTCGCTCTACAGAGAAGGACTAGATAATTTCGTAAGAGACATTTCTTGTGGACCATATGGCAAGACAAATGACCCCCTCCCCTTTATTTATAATCGAGGATTGGCCTGTCAATACAACGGGAATGAATATCTTTATAGCGATATATATATTTTTTACAAGATGCCTATTATCGTATCATCTCGTCTTGATTCAAATACTTGGCCCTACCGATCGACCATTCTGTACATTTAGATTGTTTCTGCCCTCGAGATCTCCCAACGACTGTGTCTAAAAGAACGATTAGAATTGTTGTGGTGCAACGCAAAACGAACGACTCACATGTACGGGCGGCAAATGTTTTGTAGGTTGGAAAAAGCGATGTTTTATAGGAGCCGCATAAAAGCACTTATCAAGTTATCTGTCTCAACCTCTACGTTCATCGATAGAACATTTGGTGATTGCATTTGCGTTTTTTGTATGGTAACGCGTAAATCATACGGTAAACCGAATATAACAGAATTGCGATATACGCGCCGTGTATATGAATTGCAATAAACAAATAGAAAAAGCAATTTTCTCATTTGCTTGGCTGCCTATACATTGTGGGTAATACAGTTAAAGAGTTAGGCAGTAATGACGGTAAGCTTGCGTTTTTCTGATGTTGCGCGATCTGAAAACTGCAAATTCATTGATCAAAAAGTAACTTGGGAAAAAAAATGACAATTGTTTAAACTGCTCTGGCTTTACAACGAGCAAAATAATAGATACGTACAATATGTCATTTTGAAGTAGATTTTAGTACTATGAATTAATATGATATTCGTTCACCCCTTCTCTCTACGACGTTGTTTCATTGAATTTACCAAACTGATTAGAAGGCTATCTGGGGTATTATTCCAAAATTTTCTCCAATTCACTGAGATTTTTAGGTTTACGTTTTTCCACATTTCTCTTCAATAGAGGGCCGTCCATAACCATAGTAATAGGAACATTTTTCCTTAGCAATGCGACTAGTATGCTTAGTCGCCATTGCCTTTCAGGATGCTCCTTACCTCTGGTAGATGCATTTTTATATCTCAGCATCCACCTTTTACGCAAAATTCACCCCATGCGAAGGACCTTCGGAATTAGCCACAAATTGGTCTCACATCCTTATACCATTGTTTTATTGTGTTGCGAAACAGTTGGAAAGAAGTCTCATCACTAAATCAGGTCTTATTCCAATTGTCGTTTATATACTTTTTGGCCTATTCAATATGATCCGATGTGAGCATCGGAGTATTAAGAGGGAGTGCATTTCGATACCCATGCTCAGCGTGAGACTCTATTCCAATGTTTTCAACTTATCGTAATTTCTTTTGCAGAAAGTATGGGAGTTCTTCGAATATATTGGCCGATTGCTCGAGAAGCGTCAGCCGTTATTATTTTATGGCGACCATTCCCAGTTTTATCAAGCTTTTTGAGATTACGGTATATATTTTAGAGTGGAATCTTTGTCAGAGAGTGGATTTCAGAAGCATTGCGTGTTCCCTGCTTCCAGGATTGTAATATCATTTGGCGTTGGTCTTCTTGCTTAGATGGAGCCATTTCACAACGAAATAAAAACAATAGTTGAAGAGCAATTAAAATTATAAAGCACGTAAAATGATAGCACAATTTTACACGACGCGATTTGGTCCAAAATTGGGCATATACACAAACTGGGGTGAAACATTTTGTCATTTTTGCACACCATTGTGGATGATGCTATTCTGCATGTCATAATCAAGGTTATTCATTTTCACCTTGTCTCACCCCTTAATCTCGATGTAGCATCTACCAATTGCAGTATTGTAGTCGTGGGAATTTGTACATGTGCCTGATTAACATATGTTTGATAAATATGTCGCGATCGGGTATTGTACTTTGACTACGGATAATAATAACAATGATTCGAAATTGTGTCATATCCGATCCTTGATAGATTAAAATCCTTACATGTGCTGCACATGCTTGTGAGGAACCAATCAAACTTTTCGAAGGAGAGTCTTATACTCATGAATGCATGTTGAGCTTGTAGAGAAAGAAACAAAGAAAACTCTACTTTCTGGAAGGTTAGTCTTAAACGTAATTCGGGTGCTATCAACTCATAAACTCATAATTCCGTCTTTTGTCTTGCATGCATAAAAATCTGGGTGAGAAAGATAATGACTTTTTATTAACAAGGATGATGACAATCTGTTATCGGTTTATTGTTATTAACATTTTGACTCGTTCTCATCTACACACAAGGGGGGCGGGAAATCCATTCCTCTTGTTACTGATATTATAACTCTTCCCTTAGTAGTGAAGGGAAATCAAGCGTATTTTGATTTTTGAGAGGAAGCGGGATTCCATAATTCTCTCTTACGATCTCCACTCGGTATTTTTATTTTATACATCCATTACAGGCGTTGTGCAATCCTATTGTCTCGAGAGAATCTTGCATTCCCCTGATACCCTTTGCTTTATCATTTCTTGCACGTTCCAAATTTTCAAGATATTCTGCAGTGACAGAACCAGTTATATATTCTCCGTCAAACACTGAACAGTCAAAAGTTTTGATGTCCAGATTAAGTTGGCTACAGGAAGCTATTAGATCTCCAAGTTTCTGTAAATATAGTAAAAGGAATAAACAAGGGTATTAGAGAACATGATAAATAAGTGGCGTTAATACGAAGATAAATTGTTAAAATCGACTCGCCTGAAATATTACTTCATCTGCACCAATCGCTTGTGCAATTTCCTCATCGCTCTTGTCAAATGCAACAAGTTCTTGGCGTGATGGCATATCAATACCATATACATTGGGATATCTATATGCAACCAATGTATTAATATCTTATCATTCGCATAATTACCCCGAATTTGCTGTACCTGATGGCGGGTGAGCATGAGGCAAAATACACCTTCTTGGCGCCTGCATCTCTTGCCATTTGAACAATCTCCTTAGAAGTGGTTCCTCTAACGATTGAATCTATGTAGGAAATATATATTTGATAAGTATACAGCTCCTTAGCAGGAGATATCAATATTGATAACAAGTTTCACACCATCAACAAGTAGGACATTCTTGTTCGCGAATTCTAAAGCCATAGCATTCAATTTCCTCCGCACGCTCTTCTTTCTCATCTGCTGTCCAGGCATTATGAACGTGCGTCCAACATAACGATTCTTAACGAACCCTTCACGATAAACGATTTGTAGCTTATGAGCAACCTGAAGGGCAGCTACACGGCTTGTATCCGGCACCTGTTCATCAACACTGTTAGAATTCTTTGATCTAAATATGTACCATTACTAATGCCACTGTATTTAAGTATTTGTATAATACGCACTGGAATAACTACTTCAATGTCCATATTACCATTGAATTTTCTTTTGACTTCTTCGGCCAGATATTCCCCCATCGCCAGACGTGATCGATACACAGAGATGCCGTCGATTACAGAGTCAGGACGTGCAAAGTATACGAACTCGAATATACATGGCGCGTATTCTATTATAGGCGTTACTTGTTCTCGACTAACTGCTTGCTTCGTGATAATCACGGCTTCGCCTATATAGTAGTAAGATAGTATGTATAAGATATTATGTATTATAAAACGGACATACAGTATATTACAGTATCTTTACCCGGTTTGATGTCTTCAATATCGGTGAATCCGTTGGCAGACAAAGCAACACTCTCAGAGGCAATCATGTAATCCCATCCTTTGGGGCTTTTTCTCTTTCCAAAGCAGATAGGTCGGATGCCGTAGGGGTCACGCAGCCCAATGATACCGAAACCTTCGCGCAATTCAAAGTCAAATTGACACGAATGTGGAAGGAATGGAAAGCGGACGAATCGAGGGTTAAAAGATGGAAGGAGGGGAACAAATTCGTACCAGCTATCATGACAACGCACGCATATCCCCCAACACACTGGCTGTTCAGGCCTTTTATTGCTGTGAATATGTCTTGTTCGTTGATTCTGTAAAGGGCAACAAATTAACGGTAATGTTAGAACAGTTAACGGTAATGTTAGAGCAGTTAACGGTAATAACTATATTATATATTGCAAGTATTACTATTCTTATGTGATGATTATTGCCTTTGTCGGATGACCTACAGTTACCTGACTTTGCCGGTCTGCTGGAGATTGTTCGCAAATATATTCAATAATATCTCCGAATCCGAATCAGTGTTGATGTGACGATGTGCTTCCTTATCCAGAAAGACCTTTAGCGCTTCCGCGTTCACGAGATTACCATTCTAATTATATGAACATTATTGATTAAATATCGCCCACAGTAAGATATCTCTTCATAGAGCGTAACACACTTACGTGAGCAAGGGCTATTCCGTATGGACTATTGACGTAGAACGGCTGCGCTTCAGAGTGAGATGATGACCCGGCTGTTGGGTATCGAACTATACACCAAGAGTAAAGTATTACAGTATGATTATATAATGGATAAACAGCAAAAAAGGACTACGTACCATGACCAATACCGATAGGACCAACGAGATATTCCATATGTTCTTGTTCGATCACATCACGAACCATTCCATTGCTCTTACGTTGATACATTCT